TTGGCTATCGAGAGTGTTGAGTTGGAGAGCTTGTCTCTTTTGAACTCTGTGTTCAGTGATGTCAATATGTTCAGTAAATGCCATCAAGTCGGTTCCAACTTATAGTGACACTGTATAGGATTTTCGAGGGCTGGTAGATGTGAACCACTGATCTTGTGGTTAGCAGTCCAGTGCTTTTCTGTAGCACTTGAAGTATCTATGCCACAGAAATCAGCATAAACTATGAATCAGAGATTTCCCTCCATTTTAAAGGGCTGGTGAAATGCCAGCACAATCCTACTAGCTACAACCATTACTTCTCTACAATAGAATTCAACTCTTCATTGGTCATAAGAATCTATTTTGCATATCTAAATTATGTTTTTGAACAAATCTGTCTTTCTGGAAAAGAAAATATTTAAATGTCTCTCATTAGTTTATACTAATGGAAACACTGAACTTCCAATGTGAAGGGTTAATTCTGTGAGGCCCTATCATTTTTATCAGAAAAGTGTATCCTATTCACAATAAACTGTTCAAAATCTTTATTTTTACCTTAAATACATGTTAAGTGACATCTAATAGGTTCCAACTCATAGCGATCCTGTATAGGGTTTCCAAGGTGCAGCTAGTGGGTTTGAACCACTGACCTTGTGGTCAGCAGTTCAGTGCTTTGTCTACATACCACAACAGGATTCCTAAATACTATCCTCTTTAAATTCAAATGATACTTATGAAGCAAAATATCTAGACTTTAAATAGAACCTAACAGATTGTAATTCTTTGTCAAAATGTCTATATGATTTAATGATAAAAGGTTAAAAATATTCTATGAAGTATGAAAGAAACAATTTTATTAGGTGAACTGAAGAAAAAGAATCACATTCTCATTCTACTGGAACATAACACAGCAGTGGCCAAAAAAAATGAACTCTGGAATGGATCCCAGGATTTAAGGCAAAAGACCCCATCTGTCTTCCAATTTCACTGAATCCAGTACTGAACGTGCTTCTTTAAATTCCTCAGTTTCCTCCAAGTCTTTTTCACTTTCTAGTAGCTGCAGAAGATCAGTATATGCAGCTTCCAACCTGCGCTGGCAATCTGGGATCATCATCCAGGACTCTTGCAAGATCTCTTTCTGCTTTTTAGTTCCATAATTTTCACTATCTTCAGCCTTCATTTTCCCAATCTTTTCTTCCTGTTGTTTAGCTTCTTTTTCATACATCACTTTTTCTTTGACCAATCGCTTCACTACGCCGGTTTTGATTTTTATCTGCCTCACGCGAGGGTCTGCTATGGCCTGTCGATCGCTGCGGGAAGGAGGGCAAGAGAACGGGTAACACCAGAGGGAGATGGCAACTCCTCCATCTATATTTTAGTATGAACCAAGTCTTCGTTTGTCCTTCTGAATTGTTTGTATTCTGTTGTGTGAATGCATCACATTTTATTTATCCATTCATCTGTTAATGGGCATTTAAGTTGTTTTCACCTTTTGGCTACCATGAATAGTGCTTCAGTGAACATTGGTGTACAAGTCTCTGTTTGAGTCTCTGCTTTTGGCCTTTGGCCTCTTTTTGTTTTTTAAATCAAAATGTTGTTAGGTGCTATTGAGTTGGTTTTGACTCATAGCAACCTCATACATGTACAACAGAATGAAACACTGTCCAGTTCTATGCTATCTTCATAATCATTGCTATGTTTGGCTCATTGTTGTAGCCACTGTGGTGATCCATTTCACTGAGGAGCTTCCTCTTTTTTACTGACCTTCTACTTTACAGAGCACCATGTCCTGGTCCCATCTGATGACTTGAACAAAGTACGTGAGACTAAGTCTCTCTATCCTTATTTCTGAGAAGCATTCTGGCTGTACCTCTTCCAAGATAGACTTGTTATTCAATATTTTTAGCTAACATTGTAATTCAATGCATTGCTTCTTCTTCAGTCTTCCTTATTCATTGTTCAGGTTTCCATACATATGAGAAAATTGAAAATATCAACTTGATTCATGTAAGGCAGGGATGGGTGACCTTTCTTCTGCCAACATTTTTAACATTACTCATGGGCCAAGAAAAATTATCAACTTAAAAATTAGCCTGCTATATTTGGTCAAACATTTAATTAACTCACCTCTAATGTGATGGCTGGACTGTTGGTATAGCACTGTAGGATCAGCACTAGACTGAGAACCACAAGGTTGGCAGTTCAAACCCACAAGCTGTTTCTTGGAAACCCTATGCAGGGTTATTATGAGTTCGAACTGACTTGATGGCACTTAACAACAAGAAATGTAATGTCTGGAACTATGGTTGCCTTGGCAAGGATAGACCAAATGATTTTGTGGGCCTTATATGGCTCATGGACTGAACATTCTCCACCCCTGATATAAGGAGTACCTTCCTAGCTGGCCTTGCCTTTACCCTTGCTGTTCTCTCTGAAATTTTATAGTTCTTGACATAAAATACTCCTCTCCCTATACCTTGTCTTCCTCTTTTAGTCTTTGGAAAGAATTAACTGAAATTAACCCAGGAATATAATTAGTGTTGGTTGCAAATCAGAAGTCCCTTACTAAAGGCTTGTCTGTCCACATGCCTTGACTTGTATTGCTGAATGACATACTGTGAGATAAAGAAGAAAAAGACACCTCCTCCAGCTGACAATATTGTGGACATTCCTTCAAAATATTTATTTCCTGGAAATGTCTGGGTAAGGGCATATTCTGATAATAAAGAAATTCTATCATCTGCATACTGGTCTATGCTTTCCTGAAGTGCCCCAAATTCCTACAGATAGGGGTACAAAGGAAGAATGCAGCAGAACAAAAATAAGTTCTAAAAAATAAGCTGTTGTTCAATGAAGTTATGGGCTGAGTTCAACTATGTTCCATAGACTCCCATTGACCTGGAGATGAGAGAGAGAAGAGGAAAGGATGGTTGGTCCAAAGTGTGGTGAGACCTGGGGGCACATGAGCCCATGGACAAGGACATAGACACAGAGGGCTAGAGCTGAGAGTGAAGCATCCAGTGATATGATATGAGGGGAGACATACAAGAATACAAGAATGCCCAAACTTTTACATAGTACCCATTTGACCTACCCTCGATGGCTTGATGATCGGAACTCTACTAGAGAAAGATTAAAAAAAACAACAAAAAAAAAACCAAGTTTTGATAAAGGAAGCAAGTGTAAATTGCTACAATTTGATGAGCTTGACCTATATTTATGGATGTAGTAGCTCAAAATGCCAACCAAGAGGGAAAGAGTCTTCACATAAGTATCAGTCTTATCCCCTCTGGATACAGAGTTGGTAGGGATGGGCAACTTAGACATTGGCTACTTAAATGAAGGGGCAATAAAGGCACAAAGTGACTGGCTTACCAGTTTTCAAGAGGTAATTTAGTTTTAGAGGATGCGGGGGAAGGTAGAGTGTCCACTGAATAGTTTTCATCTTATCTAGACGGGTCTGGTGAAAGGAGATGGTGATAATATTCTTATAATTCAATAGTAAATAATTGTTATCATGATTAATTGCGACTGTCACAACTGTAAAGGTAGAAGTTTTGTAACAAAAAGAGGGGAGTAGTTAATCCTATAGCCCAGGAACAGAGGACCCTAGGACCATCAAGGGAGAAGAGCACGAGTGGAATGTGGAACCCTATCCAGAGAAGCAGCAACACCAGAGATGGAGGCAGAGATGAGGACATGGAGAGAGGGAACAGTTGAGTACTCTAGACTCATGGAAAGAGAAAGGCTGTGTGTTGGCAGCCAGGAGGCAGGCTTACAGAATGTGCCCTTTGGTTGTGTAAATGATTATGTATTCTTGAGTGTTTTTGTTTACATCCCTTGACACCCCGCCCCCCAAAACCCAGAGGGAATGGAAACAAATACTGTTGAATAATGATGTATCCAAGGAGGAGATTGTATTCATTGCAATGAAAAAATGAGTGTAAAACTGATGTTCTCCCATGTAAACTATCACTCAATTTACAATAAAAACTTAAAAAAAACCCCAAAAAACCTGTTATTGCTTAATGCCCTCAAGTTGGTTCTGACTTGTAGCAACCCTATGTATGACAGAACAAAACATTGCTTGGTCTTGCACCAACTTTATAATCATTGCTATGTTTCAGCCCATTTTTGCAACCACTGTAGCAATCCATGTCATTGAGGGTCTTCCTCTTTTTTTTTTTGTGAACCTTCTACTTTACCAGGGATAATGTCTTTTTCTAGAGACTGGGCCCTTCTGATGACAAGTTCAAAATACTTATAAGGAGCATTCTGATTGCATTTCTTCCCAGACAAAATCAGTTTTTCTTCTGGCAGTTCACGATATATTTACTATTCTTCTCTAATACTGTAATTCAAAGGCATTAATTCTTCTTTGGTTTTCCTTATTCATTACTCTACTTTTGAATGCATATGAGAAGATTGAAAATATCAAGACTTAGGTCAAGTGAATCTAAATCTTCATAAAAAATTTAAAATACCAAGAATTACAGAAGTCTGGAAGGAAAACTCATAGAAAAGAATCAATATGATGATATAGAAAACCAAAAAAATACTGAGAGAGTTTAAATTAATTTTCATAGAGTATTCAGACTTTCTATCACTCTTGTGTGTTGCATAGCTTCCAGTATCACAGCAACATAAAAGAGTGGTAGAAAGTCTGTAATTCTTGGTATTTTCAGTTTTTTTATGAAGACTTAGATCTCACAACTTTTCTGTCTCTAACAAAGTACAGCCTTATCACTTTTCTATCACTATGTGTTAGTGGAAAATAGTTTAGGTCTTTTCTGATAGGTTGCCACATTGCACACTTTCCAGCTTTTGCAGTTTTCACTACTATAGATGTTGAATTCCTGGCCTTGATACCTGTGAATGTTATCCTGTTTGGACATGGGGCTTATGCTAATGGGATCATACCAGTGTAAGGTGTCCTAAACCAAATCTCTTCTGAGTTATAAAAATACCAGAACAGTTATGGAGACACTTGCATGAGGTAAAGACTGATGTCATAAGGGTTGTCTGCACTGTGCACTCTACAAGATAAGGAACCACAGAACTCCTGAGGCTATTGAAAAAAATAAAGAAATGAACATGATCAAAACTTTGATTTGAATCTGCAAGATAATAAATGCATGTTCTTTTGTTTTGTTTTTTGCTTTTTTAAAAAATGTTTTATTGTGAATGATGTGATAGTTTACATGGCAGAACATTAGTTTTACATTCATCCTATCGTATATTGTTTCATTGCCATGGTTACAATCCCCTCCATAAATGCATGTTCTTTAAAGCCACCCACTTGTTGTATTTGTATTACAGCAGCACTAGGAAACTAAGACAAGGTGTGAGCATTGAGTTAGGCTAAAACAAAGTGGCTTCAGCAGAGATGGCAGGGTGGAGAGTGATGGCAGCATCCTCTCTTATAAACAACACTGTTATAAAGAACGCTAAAGGGGAGGATATTCCAGGTAGAATGGTTTGATTGAAACCACAATAAAAAATAGTGGAGTTAGAGTGTAGTGTGTGTGTGTGGGGGGGAGGGGCAGGAGAGGTTTTCTATGGGATGACAGACAAATATTTCAGACCAAATTGTAGAAGCTATATAATTCTATCCTCAAAAACTTAGATGGGATTCAAGTAGCTGGAGGTTTTTAGAAGTTCATAAAACTCTGAGTGTTAATCATCCTAAAAATTTCTAAAAATCTATGGATATGCACTTCAATTTCTTTTTAGTTTTAGTTCAATGAATTTTTGAAAATATTTGCCTTATTAAGAAATAGCTGTATCTTTGGAATTTAGCACACAATCTAACACATAATGCTTGTTGTTACATGCAACTGGGTTGATACCGACTCATAGTGGCCCTGGGTAGGGTTTCCGAGGAGTGGCTGGTAGGTTTGAACTGCCAACCTTGTGGTCAGCAGTCCAGTGTTTATCCTACAGTGCCACACCAGAACGTCAACACATATTAGACTCTCAATAAATTGCTTGAATGCTGTTCAGTTCCCGTGGTGGTGGTGGTGTACCTTCTTTCTAGTCAGTTCTGACTAATAATAACCTTGTATAGGGTTTCCATGGCTGAAAATCTTATGGGAGCAGAAAGCCTCATCTTTCTCCTATGGAGAAACTGCTGACCATCCCTTTAGCGGCCTAGCTTGTAATCCACTACACTACCAAGTCTCCTTTCACTTCCCACATGGTCTTGTTTATACACAAATTTAAAACTTATGCATCACACATCAACTCACTTCCATCTAAATGTCTAATCTGAGCCATTCAGGTGAAACAAACCTTTTTCTTATTAACCTTT